CTCATTGTTCTCCACCTTATTTTCTGGTTCTCTCACTGAACCCGGAACTGACTCAGGTAAGACCAAGCGGCCCAGCAAGCCCCAGGGATTCCCCTGGTTCCACCTCCCCAGCACCAGGATTATGGACAGTTACCACCAGGTCCGGTTTTGTACATGGGTGCTGGGGATCCACGCTCAGATTCTTTACTGCCTGAGGCATCTCCTCAACTAGAGGCTTGCGTTTAAACAGAAGGCAAAAGCCGGCACAGCTGTGAAGTCCTGGTGAAGGCATGACCCCGCCCACCACGTCAGTCCTGCTAAAGCATGGCCCTGCCCACCACGTCAGTACTGGTAAAGGCCACGCCCACCATGTCAGTCCTGGTTAAGCATGGCCCTGCCCACCACGTCAGTACTGGTAAAGGCCTGGCCTCACCCGCCCTCTGTGCCTGGACTAGTTCCTCCTCCTACAAGGTGCTCTGGCTAGTTGTCAGAGCTGTGTGACATCTCTCTGGAGACTCCTCTAGCTAGCATCAGCACTTCAGGCATTCCCTGCCCCAGCATAGGATTTCTAAAGAAAGTTTTACCCTGTGTGTCAGTCTTCAGTAGTCTGACAGCCGAAGAGAGGGACACAGATGTACTTTTGCTCCTGCTGGGATAGTTACGGGGAGGGCCATGCTTAAGAGACAGTCAAAGACACTTTCTGTTTGGGTCTTTCTTGGACTTCATCTTTCCAGCGTCCCTACCTGCTGGAGCAGTGCTGTAGGAATTTAGGTGCCCAGAGCTACATAGGTAAGGAGGGAAGTCTGGGGATTGTGTTGCCTTTTGTTACTATCAAAATCTGTACACAGTGATTACAAAGCAGAATGAGATCTGGGCCACATCACCAGCTACTCCGCTGTTCCACTGGGGGACTGGCTATCTGTCCCTCTATCGTAACATTGTTCCCAAATGACAAAGGGGAGGCTCCAAGTTGTGGCTCTGCCAGCTCCTTCATGATCCAAAAGGCACATGATCCCTGGCCCCTGGTTCTTATTGAGTTGCATCTCCAGGGAAGACCACGCCCATTGGACCAAGCCTGATGTGGGGTAACTCTCTGTATGTTGTGACTATGATTTAGTATCATTGGTGTATTAACTGAAAGAATATGGGAGTCATGAGGAGATGGGGTACATCAAGTTAAGGGATACCAATCCTGTGTGTGGTGTGTGTCCCCTGGCGTTCCAGACTCTGGTAACCATAGGATGTTACAGATCCACAGACAAGCTCCCAGTAGAGGGCGCCTGCTGTCTCCTCCATAGTGATTGGGACTGGAGAGATGGCTCATCTGTAAGAGCACTTGCTGCTCTTCCAACCGACTTGAGTTCAGTTCCCAGCTCCTGTGCCAAGTGGCTCACCGTTCCCTGCAACTTTATTAAGAAGCTGCTTTGGCCTGTGACAGGACAGAATAGAACTAGGCAGGAAAACTAAACTGAATGCTGGGAGAAAGAAGGTGGAGTCAGGGAGATGCCACATAGCCACCCAAGGAGACAGTTGTTGGAACTTTATCCAGTAAGCCACAACCTTACCAGATAAAACACAGAATAATATAAATGGGTTAATTTAAGATGTAAGAGTTAGTTAATAAGAAGCCTAAGCTAATAGCCCAAGCAGTGTTTTAATTAATATAGTTTCTGTATGATTATTTTGGGTCTGGGCAGCTGGGAAACGAATGAGCAGCCTCTGACTACACAAGCCTCCCTATACAGTTGGCTACTGAACGGAATTCCCATAACACATAGGAACCCTGAACGTAAATGACTAGTTGATAATAAGAAAGACGATCAATAAAAAGACCTACTGGGATCTGAAGCGACAGCTCAGCAGTTAAGAGAGCTCACTGCTCTTGAAGAGGACCTGGGTTTAATTCCCAACACCTACCTGGAAGAGCTCACCACCCCCTGTAACTCCAGCCCATGGGTTCTGATTCCCCCTTCTGGTTTTCTTGGGCACCTGTGTGATTGCAATGCACACACAGATAAGTGGGTGTGTGCACACATGCACAGTGCACATAAGTAGCTCTTCAGGTTGGAGACCGCTGGGCTGATGAGCCTGAGTACTGGGGCTGTTTGGTTGTCTCTCACAGGAACTCTGGGGTTTAGAAGTGAAGTGGTGTGTAGTTTGTGGTTTGTACACATGTTGGGGAGCAGTCCCATTAAAGGAGGCTTTTTAGACCTCAGGTTATATTTTCCAAAGAGAAAGCATTCCTGGGGAAGTCTCCTGACTGTAGTATCATCTTCCTGCCAGTAGGTGTCGCCCTGGGCTCCCCAAGGGGGTAAGCACTACACTCCAGCAAAGGACTCTACCGCCGAACACGTGAATCATCGATTAGACGGTGTGCCCCCTGCTTTTCCAGCACTGAAAAACTGGTTAATTACAAAAGTGCGCGGCAAAAAAGATATTTTTTAAATCACATTCCTTCACCCAGTTCTGCTCCTTAAGAGAGCGCTCAGGCCAGAATGGGCAGGGAGAAGAAGAGAGGATCTGGTGGACCTGGGCGCTTGATTAGGGACTGTCAGCACAGAGGAGGAAGGTGTGGTGTCCAGACAGCCTCCCACACCAAGGCCTATTCATCTGCTCTGGGGTTAGGAAGCAGAAGGTCACAGTGTTACGGGGCACATCACAGGCTGGGCTGTTTCTGTTTAAGCACTTCTCTTCATCTTCTGTAATACTTCAACCTAAAATCTCTCTCTCTCTCTCTCTCTCTCTCTCTCTCTCTCTCTCTCTCTCTCTCTCTCTCTCTCTCTCTCCCCCCTCTCTCTCTCCTGAAAACCCACTGACCATGTGACCATGCTGGCCAGGAATTCAGGTAGGCAGTCTTCACTCTCCAACACCCCTTCATGATAAAAGTCCTGGAGAGAGGAGGGATAAAGGGGACACACCTCAACCCAATAAAGCTCATTTGCAGCCAGTCCACTCCAATATGCACCTAAATGAAGAGAAACTCGAAAGTGTTTCCACTAAAATCAGGAACAAGACAGGTCAGCCACTCTCTCCACACCTAGTCAATGTAGGAGTTGAAGAATAAATAGTTATATTTTTCCTTAGTTATGATAAAAGATATAAATATTATAACTGTAATTCTTGCTTGATGCCTGTTTTGTTATATGTAATTTTTCTATGTTAAAGTTAAAATTTTCCTTTTATCTGAACAGAAAGGGGGAGGTGATGTTGGATTCCCCTCTGTTCTGTGAATACCACTGGTTAATAAAGAAGCTGTCTTGGCCTGTGATAGGGCAAAAGAATAGAGCTAGGTGGGAAAAAACCAAACTGAATGCTGGGAGAATAAAGACAGAGTTTAGAGACACCATGTAACCACCAGAGGGAAAAGATGTGAGTTGCCAGCAGGAACCTTGCTGATAGGCCATGAGCCTTATGGTAAAATATAAACCAATAGAAATGGGTTAATTTAAGATATGAGTTAGCCAGAAATATGCTTAAGCTATTGGCCAAACAGAAGTGCAAATAATACAGTTTCTGTGTGAATATTTTGGGTCTGAGCGGCCAGGAACCAACAAGCAGCTTCTCCTACAACAGTAACCCAGACCCAGAAAGACAATTATCACATGTACTCACTCATAAGTGGTTTTTAAACATAAAGCAAAGAAAACCAGCCTACAATTCACAATCATATAGAACCTAGACAACAATGAGGACCCTAAGAGAGACATACATGGATCTAATCTACATGGGAAGTAGAAAAAGACAAGCTCTCCTGAGTAAATTGGGAGCATGGGGAACTTGAGAGAGGGCAGAAGGGAAGGGGAGAGGAGAAAGATATATAGCTCAATAAAAACAATAAAAAATACTTAAAAAGAAAAGAAAAATTAGTTTTTTCCAATGAGTCTTACTGTGGATACACAAATCATCTTGGAGGCAGGCCCCGGGCCCAACAATAGGAAACGTGAAATGAACTTAGTAACATTGGGGGGGGGGGGTTCTTTGTCTTTTTTTTAATCTCACAAATTCTTTGTGTGTGTGTGTGTGTATGTATGTGTATTTTTCTGGTTTCTGGTTTTGTGTTTTCATTGGACTTCTGAGTGTATGTGTGTGTGTGTGTATAGTGTGTACATGTATATATATACTTTGTGTGTATATGTATATATTGTGTGTAAATGTATATGTATATACTTTGTGTGTATATGTATAGATATATACTTTGTGTGTATATGTATATATATACTTTGTGTGTATATATATTGTGTGTAAATGTATATGTATATACTTTGTGTGTATATGTATATATCCTTTGTGTGTATGTATATATATACTTCGTATGTATATATACTTTGTGTGTATATGTATATATACTTTGTGTGTATGTATATATACTTTGTATGTATATGTATAT